AAAACTTAAACACAGAAGGTTGAAAATCAAGGATGTCAATCAATTTACTAACGATCAAAATCACATGTAAGTACTTTGCGAACAATACTGTGTTCCCAGACAGTATACTAAATGGTTGTGTGAATTATCGCAGCATATTAATCTGAGAAAGTGGCCTTTTTGACCTCGCACGGGTCTTTTATTTTTATTTTTTAATATTTTTTGTTTTTGTTTTATTTTTTGTTTTTTATTTTTCGTTTTGTATATATATGACGACGCGTCGATTATTTAAATTGAATTTTGAAGGAAGTTTTATCACAATTCATCGGACGAGGGTACAATGAATCGTACTCTGGCGGAACGTCAAACTGACAGTTCTGCGTGCGCATTATGGTGGAGAGTGAGCGCTGTGACTGTCATAGGAGACGGATCGCCGACGTCCGTTATTTTTGTAATTTATTCGGTCTGATTATAAAATCCTACGCCCTGCGATGTACTGTGAAGACGATGATCGGGATGTTGATGGTTGTACCAAGCCCTCGGTGCCTTCATATAAAATGTAATTGTATTTATTTTCTGTGCGAGTCTCAAATAAATGTTTTTTTCTTCTTCTTTCTTCTTTCTTTAATTGTGCACGGATCGAGTAGGTAGGTATTTAGGGTAGGTATTTTAAATTTCAATGTTTCTTGACGGTTGTCCTTTTCTAGTACTAAAGATACTATTATGAATTACGTCAAAATGCATTTAAAAAAGATTCCTTAATCAAAGGTATTATTTATATAACGTTCGTATATTAGTTGTGTGCGCGATGACAGAGACCCCTAGTGGCCGCAACTATTCAGGACTTGTCATCTGCCAAATAATGTCAACTGGATGATATGATTTTCGACTAGTTTTTCAACGAAATTGAAAAAAAAAATGTGTAAAAAGTGAGTGTGTTTTATACCTAGCGATTTTCTTCCTCGTGAAAAATATGGATATTATAATACGTACGGGATTTGAATTTTAATTCTCTTCATAGCAGCTATCTATTTTTGTCTATGCTGTTATGTCCACTTTAATGTCGGAAACGAATAAAACTTGCACGAACTGTTTTTCCCATTGTTTTTACAATTTACGACACAGCATGTACTATGACCCATATTACAAATTTTTACGTTTTTACTTAAAATTATAAAGAAAGTTATGAAAATAAAGCAATTTGACACATGACAGTCCAGAATTAATTCACATTTCTGCCACGTCGTGCGCTACGATCGATTTGCCGTTTCCCACCACCCACTTCGCACATAGCGAATAAACGGCACGCTGTTTTCAAAATAGTTTCTTTCAACATTATTATCACTTACACAAAACTTACTTACAATACTTAGAATTTATTGGAAATCTTATACCTATATAAAAATGAATTACTTCCGTGATTTCGTTAAGCATTCATAAAATTCTCCAACTAGAGAAACAATACGTTTGTGAGTAATATAAAGACGGGTATTTATAGAGTATAATAGAAATTACGAATTGTCGACGCTTTAGTTACAAAATTTATATGTATAAGAGCTGATTTTTCGATAGTCAGACAAATGTTATCGGAGGAAAACTTATTGTTGTCACTGAACGTCACAATGTTTGTATAAGACAGTGACAGCAACAATTTTATTCCTCAGATACATTTATCTCGACTATCGAAAAACCAGCCCTTAGTGAACTTGTAAAACAAATATTACGACAGAGTTTCTTGCTCGTTCTTCTCCATTCGACACTTTTTGGAACAACTCGAAACGAGCACCTAGCTTCAATGACGAACAGACTGACAGACTACTATTCTATTTTGTCCTTTCAAAAGTACCTATGGTTTAATTGGAATAAATGATTTAGGTCTTTGTCTTTCGTGTATGATCCCTTTCTTGAATGACTTTACAAAAATACTACCTGTATAACACATGGAATGCTAATAAAGTATTGAGTACTGAGTATTGAGTTAAAAAATTACATAGAAAAAGTGGCATAGATTTTTATGCTTATATATTTAGAGGTTTCGCGACTGACACCCGGTTTCTGAAAGGCTTGTCAACGCTACAATTAACTAATCTCCTATTAAATTTCTTGTCAAGTCATCTGATTGGTTGTTGATAATTCAGTCAACCAATCAGATGACTTGACAAGAGATTAAATTGATTTTAACATTGATCGGCCTTTCGGAAACCGGGGGTAAGTCGTCTTCTAAATGATTAGTGCATTATCTTACGTAAAGCGATGGAAACGTTACCGCGTCTAGCCTCCTGATTGGTCGATTACAATTTGGAGTTGGCCCATCAAAGCGCTGAACGATGTAAACGTGTTTAAAAACGCCTTAGGCCGCTATCCCACTAGGCGTTTTACTACGTAGAACTACGTGGCAAGCATTAACGTCCACTGGACGCGAAGTCAAAGTCACGTTTGTTGCTACGCGACGCCGCGGCGTTACCGTTGCGTCAAGGCGGCGTTGACGTCAACGCTAGTAAAACGCCGCGTGGGATAGAGGCCTTAACGTGGAACAAACTTACACTAAACACTTATAAGGTCATATAATAACATACATTTTCGTCAAATCAAATATAGAGGTCATTTATAATAGAGAACAATATAAAAGCGATTGTAAGCACACACATCTAACTACATTTGTAAGCACTTATGTATAAGAAAATTATAGGAAAGATGACCTTGTAAAGATAGTATTAATCAGCACTAAAATCGAACATGTTTTTTGAGGAAAAATCGACTATCTAAGATTTTGCTGAGAAAAGCTATACTAGTTTCAAGTCACAACGTTTGGTCAGTAAGAGTCTGACACTCTCGCCCAGCCCTGGGCGGGAGAAGTCATTTGTAGATTTACGCCTCACAAAAAAAAACATTGTAACATTATGGTATGCATATAAATAAATATGACTCTTATTCTAACGAACTCTGAATACGAGTCCCGTCGTGAATTGAAAATAGTATAGAGCTTCTCTCAGTACGTGACCATTAGTAGTTTTTTCAACAAAACAAATATTTTCTTTATTTTATTTTTAAGTTATTTCGACAAAATAAACGTGTTTGTTTAATAATAACATCACTGGGAAACACGGTTCAGTCATCTTCCCTATTAAAACATTATGTAGATACACGAATAAAAAGGATAGTTTAATACTGGTACAATACCGCCAACGTATCTTGGCGAGTCTGAAGTTAGCCGATTAGCTGCGCAGTAGACAATTTTGTTCCAAAAAGATCCATTGCACAGACAAACGGCTAACTTCAGACTCGCCAAGATACGTCGGCCGTACTGTAATGACAATATACAGGCTACCGTTAGACCTTTATTGTATCGAACGGCAAGTCACGTGTCTCTTGAAGAGAAACATTAATATGAATATTAATTTTCAATTTGCTTGCCGGCAATATTGCACTACTCACAGCCGGTTTCCGAAAGGCCGATCAATGTTAAAATCAATTTAATCTCTTGTCAAGTCATCTGATTGGTTGACTGAATTATCAACAACCAATCAGATGACTTGACAAGAGATTTGACAGGAGATTAGTTAATTTTAGCGTTGACAAGCATTTAGGAAACCGGGTGTCAGTCGACATCAAGTTATCAATACTAGCCGTAAATGTGATGGGGAAGCGTATACATTGTTACAAACCAAACAAAACAAAATTCAAAATTCCGTGCCATTTTACAATTTCGAAATTATAAACAATCCAATATAATTTTTTTGTCCGAGTGAGAATTCTAAACTTAACCCTCTGAGCGGGGATAGACTTAACATTTTTTTTGTGAATACTAAAAAAGTACGTAACATTTTTTTTTTTTTTTCATTTTCTTAACACATTTTTTTTTATATTTAAGTAACATACAAAAAGTAAAAAAGATATCGTACATATAGTACGTAAAGACTGCAAGCGGAAGGAGTGGACCAAATATGTCAAAACACTTTATTACATTATGAGTCTTATTCTTCAAGTAATACGGTAGATTATCTATAAAGGGCTGATTTTCCAATGGTTAGATAAAAGTTATCTAGGGTACGGTATTTCCAACTAGTCAAATTCAATACTTTTATCCAAACGTCAAAAACTATACTTTTCTATGAAATTTGTATAAAACACTGAGTTATGTTTTTAGCGTCAAATATCGTACTTATTGCTTAAGAAATAACTAAAAAATATCAAAAATTTATCGATCGATTGATCGATGAATAAAAGTATAGATATTTTTCAATATTTTATTGTATTGAAACATCGAATTAATTCATTTTTGACCTAGGAAACTACCTAATTATCACGCTGTCGCGTCAAAATGTTTGTGTAAGACAGTGACAGCAACAATTTTATTCCTCAGATAACATTTATCTGACTATTGGATAATCTGGCCTAAAGTGACTGGACAACTCGATACGCTTTGCGTCTTGTTAAACTTAGAACCAATTATGGCCACAATAGTGTATCTACATAGTGTTGAAGAGACATATTTACAAACATCAAGCTGTTGTTTTAGCATCTGAAGTTACCTGACGTCGACCAACGTAAAGTCACTATGAGCTAACATAAGCTTAAGTCAACACTGATCATCATTATGAGTAAATTTTACCATACATGCAAATTGACTAACGCCTGATTTATCAATGGTTAGATAAAAGTTACATGGGGAATAATTATGATGCTGTCGCGTCAGAATGTTTGTATAAGACAGTGACAGCAACAATTTTATTGCTCGGATAACACTTATCTGACTATTGAAAAACCAGGCCTTGTATTAATGAAGAGCATAACCAACATTGAAAACAATGACAACATTTTTTTCGTCATACTACTACTTAAACTTATATAACGGTAAAACGGGGTGAATAGAATTCGAGGGGTGAATAAACACGGTTGAGGGGTGAAGTGAACAAGGAAAATTCGCCAACATCTATTCACCCCTTTCGTGTATCTATTTACCCCTCAACTTCTATTCACCCCGTTTTACGGTAGGTACTATTAGAAAAAATACCATTTTAAATTAGCCATATCGTGGAAAGTTGACCACTATCCAACGATTATAAGCAAAAAATTGCCAAAGGAAACTGACCCATAAGCATTTTTACGTTGACTGACGTCATTAAGTATACAATATTTTTACAAAGTTTAATTTTCAAAAAATCTACTTAAGACATAGCGGCTAGCAACTCGGGCGCATCTACTTCGTACGTACCGTCGTAAGGGCGGAAGAGGCAGTTCGTCACTCTGAGTGACCCTCTGCCCTCTTCGTCGATTTGCATGTGGACTAGAGCTTTCGTCAAAGCCTCGTCCGTTGGTTCAGGGAAACCTGGTGAAGAGAATGGGGCATTAATACCACTAATCACCATGTAGTGTGTGTCACGCCTTTACCCATAAGAAGCGTTATTAAAATTATGGAATACTTGATTAAAGACATTCGGAATACGTGTCATATTTGCTCCTACATTGCAACTACATAGTATATTAAAACACAAGGTAGGTAATAAAATTATAGGCTTGACGTATACCACCGCACCAGTGTACAATCCACACTAACCAGCAGTTTTTATTTTATATAGGTCGGCAAACGTGCAGACGGATTACCTGATGGTAAGCAATCCGAGCCGCCCGTGGACTCCCACAACGACAGAAGAGTTAAGAGTGAGAGAGCCGACCTTTTGGGGATTAGGGATTGTGTGCGAGTATTCAAATTCCTCATAATCTGCAATGACTCCGTTTTCGTTTTTTTTTTTTCGTAAATTTTGTATATGGTCTATTAGGATACTAACCTCCGGTTTCCGAAAGGCCGATCAATGTTAAATCAATTTAATCTCTTGTAAAGTCATCTGATTGGTTGACTGATATCAACAACCAATCAGATGACTTGACAAGAGATTTAACAGGAGATTAGTTAATTTTAGTGTTGACAAGCCTTTCAGAAACCGGGTGTGAGTGTGTGGCAACGTTAAAAAAATCTTATAGTACACAACGCCGCGAATGGGCGATCTTGTCGCACAAGCAATGGTCTTATACAAACAAATTTTAGATAAAGCTGTAATAGGAGTTCGAAAGTGAGTTGTTATGTAAAAATTAAAAACTTGACAATTTGGTTAAAAATAGTATTTACCTACCTACCTATTTAATGTGATGCGGTTGATATCAATATTACGCTTGCAAATTTAAACAAATATAAACCTATATTTTTATTATAACTTTCGTAAGTAATTCTAAATTATCTGTTCGAAAATAGTCGAGTATCTCGTCAAATTATTACGTAAAGCCGAAAACAATAATTAAATCTAGACCTTAGTGATTTTTGGTTGTTTTTTTACGTAAACGATTATTTAATAATACAGAACATATGGGCATTATTAAGATTATAAGATTTGCCACTAAATATCTATTAAATAAGTAAAACATTCCACTCACCCCTAATATTAATATGTAGTCCAAGAGTGGGGTACCCTTTCACAAACTCTGGAAGCATCTTCCTTATCAACTTGACTGGTACGTCGGCAACGTTACCGTAATCTACGTAGCAAACGCTTGCTTGACTACTGCCCGGGCCCTCGGCTAAAGAGAGGAATATAGCGCGGAACCATTGCGGATCTGTTGGGGAGAAAAGAATTTTGAATTTGATATAAGCATTTGACTGCCGACAAAAAGTGTTGAAGGCTAACCCTCCGCTAGCGTCGGACAGCATTGTCCGACATGGCGTTTTAAGTGTTAATTTAATCATATTAGGGCTGATTTTTCAATAGTCAGATATCTGAGGAATAAAATTGTTGTTGTCACTGTCTTATACAAACGTTCTGACGCGACAGCATTATAATTATTCCCCAGGTAACTTTTTATCCAATCATAGAAAAATCAACCCTTAATAAGTAACTATCGTGAGACGAACTAAATTGATTGAAAGTAACTTATTAGTCACATATGTACGTTAATTGAGAACAGATCTACTAGTAGAAAAGCTAGAGAAAATCTCTTCATAAGCAGCGATGCACACGCTGCTTTTGAATAAGTACCTAAGCTAATTCATATGAGTAAGTCGTTATATTCAATTATTAAACATGTACTAAGTGTTTTGTTTTTTAAGGGTGGGTGGTCCTCATATGTCTTCTATCTTCATCCTAGGTGGGGCGAAAGGTAGCTTCAGACTATAACCTGACTTAAAACCACTCTGTTCCTGATTCAGGCCGAGGTCGCGGTGCCTCATTGCGCTTACCCCTCCACCCCGGCTGAACATCAGCCCTATAGGGCCCCGTCTGTGGTGGTCTATTGGCTCTTAGAAGCGCGCGTGGAACGCTACGCACCGTACGCTCGGGTTTGGTTCCGGTCGGGCGGCGAGCTGCCCTTACTCGCCGTCCGCAGATCCTTACGGTGGCCGGAGATCGTCGTGTAATAATATGTTAGTGTAAAGAATACATTTAAGTACTTACATGGAGGCATTTTAGCGATGCATAGCTCTTCAGCCTTGGGCAAGTATGGCTCCTTTCCTAATTCACTCTCACAGTATTCCGCCATCTAGGACAAAAACATTTGAAAGAATCAATACATATTATAAAAAGTCGCTTTCTCTGTCACGATATCCCCTACGTATGCATAAATATTAAACTACGCAAAAAAAGAACATATTTTTTATAGATTTACCCCCTTACTAATAAAAAATTACACACATCTTATAACAGAGGTATAGCAGACTCATTACTAATAATCAATTTTTGACATTTCCCGCGTATACAGCTGTTATAACCATTGTCAAAATTGTATGAAATGTTAGACAAGACTTATTCAGCCCGTGGACCTAGTATAACGTGTGATTAAGCGATCATTTTCGTATTTTAACTGTCAGACTCATAAAATTGATTTTACATTATTTTGCTAAAATGTGTTTAGTGATTGTGAAATCCGAAAAATCAACAAAAAAGAAAGAAAATTAATTTCGCAATGATCCTAACGATGATATTTTCATTAGAAGGTGCAGAGTTTATAAAGAAAATATAAATTTTCAAAGAAACATTATATGGAATTTGTTGATCTGCTATCTCATGATATAGGTACAGCATAGGACTAAGGGTCCCCCAGCAGAAATCCATGCCTGCATAGCTTTAGAGCCCTGCCTTTACACGACAAAAGATCAAGCCGATGCAGCTGATATTCATGGAATAAGTCAGTAATCTATTACAAATGTGTGTCGCAGAGTATCTATCGTATTGGCAAGTCGTGTCGCATATCGCAGAATTTGTTACTTTAGAAATGTGATTGCTTGAATAAGGCATATTTAATAAAATCAAACATCCAGTATGTATTTTTATATTTGTCGGTACAACCAGGTTGTTATTCCTAAAAAGGCAAATCAACAATCGCATTACTATTTCCAAATAAACATAATCTTTTCTATTTTTACTAGAACATATTTATATTCATTCAATTGTAAGTTTGTAATCGCCAACCCGCATTGAGCAAGCGTAGTGATTACTTATATTGAAGTGTGACGAAATATCTGTAATAGATACAGATACGTATTACGAATACAATATTTGTAATACTTATTTATTTGTTCGTTCATTGATATATTAGGATAAACTAATTTAATTTCACATGTCTACTGGTGAGAACCAGCTGATTGGCGGTTGACTAACCAGAAGATGGGGTATGATGGCGATATAAACCGAAATTTTGAAGGAGATTGTGAAGTTTTAAAATTGTTTGACATGGAGATAATGTATCTTAATACTTATAACATTATTTCACATCAATTATAGGTAAAGGAATATAAGATCAGCTGCCCTAATATTAGCTTGATATTCAGTAATAGGTATAACACCTATTATTAAAAGCTGTTACGAATATTTTCAGTACCTAATTGGGTTATCGAAGTATAATTCTAATGCCACGACTCTAATTTGTGTCAAATATGTATTTGACATTGATTAGGTACATTCGAAATATCAACATTTTTATCAAAAATGTTTCGCAAAGAATTGATAAATTAATATTTTAAAACTAAATTAAAAACCTAAAACCTTCTTTTTGTTTTACAAAATCAAGTATTTTATTGATTATTATAATTAAATAATTATAATAATACAAGAATATTGTCAAGAAGTGTTTCTGTTCGGAAGTTTCGGAACGCTTTCATCAATGTTGCTAGCAATCAGCAGTATAAGGAATAAATAGTTATTCAAGGTATACGCATTGTTTATTGGTAATGATTTGTATAAAGTATTACTAACTCCCTATTCAATGAATAGCTATCAAAGTGTTAAACAAGTGCGTAACCGAACTTTATTAGTAAGACCGTTAAGGATCAAAGAGGACGGTTTATATGTATATCTAGCTAATCTCGCGCGGTTTCACCCGCTGCTCAGCTCCATTTAATTGTTGCGTGATTTTTATAGCCTATCATAAAAAAATAAACTTTATTGTACACCAAAAGAGTTGACATGCATAGTACAAAATTAGAGATTCCAAAGTACTAGGTACAAAGGCGGCCTTATCGCTAGAAGCGGATTATGGAAATCTGACCAGTGATTCCAAAGATTACTCCCTACATACAAACTTACAAATTTTACCTCTTTATAATATTAGATAAAATCCATTAAATAGTGGAGAATCTAAATATGAGCATTGAGCACCGAGGAATTACATTTTCCATGATTAAGGGAGGGAATCTCTTTCATTATCACAACGATTTTCACAATGATATCTCGGATGCCGCCTACATTTCTCGTACATTTTAGGCCGCTATCCCACGGACGTTAATGCTTGGCTCGCGACGACGCGGCGTCGACACAAAGTTGACGTCAACGCTAGTAAAACGCCTCAGCCGGGGTTGCGGGGTAATCGCAATGAGGCACCGCGACCTCGGCCCAGAGCAGGAGAAGGAACAGGGAGGTTTTTAGTCAGTAAGAGTCTGACACTCCCTCCCATCCGGCCCTGGGCGGGAGAAGTCATTAGACGATATTCCCCTCACAAAAAAAAAACGCTAGTAAAACGCCTAGCGGGATAGCGGCCTTACGGTCAACTCGCCGGGCGAGTCCACGGCGCTGGAATAAAACTTACGTGCACTCTTTGGGCGAGTCGATGGCACTGAATGTGTTCATCATCATCATCATCATCATCATGCCCACTGCTGAGCAAAGGCCTCTTCTCACGGAGAAGATTAGAGCATTAATCACAACGCTTGCTCAATGCGGGTTGGCGATTTCAAACTTATAATTAGGAATTACAAATCCAGGTTTCCTCACGATGTTTACCTTCACCGTATGTCAGTGGTGTCTAAATAATCATAGAAAGTACATATAACTCGGAAAAAAGTCACATTGGTACTTGCCATGTTCGAACCCACACCCTCATGCATGAGAAGCGGGCCACCACGACACTGAATGTGTTAAATGAACTAAATTTCTACACGTTACCTTCTCAGCTAGTTCCACGTGTACGCTGTGAGCGAAGGGCAATGAGCTATCGTACCCGCAAACGACACCGCCATCCAACATACTCGTATCTAGTACAGTCACCGTACACCCTTTAGGGGGCAGCTTCGATAGTTCCAGGTCGTCCATCGTCAAGTAAACTTTGTCTGTGTAAAGATAAGATTTATATTAATAACTAGCTTTTGCCCGCGGCTTCGCTCACGTTAAGAAATATTATTAATTAGATATAGTTTTTGCGACTTTTCTTTTGTTTAGCGTGTGTTAAAAATTAAGGCCTCATCTTCATCAATCTTTAATTTCAGCTCAATCAGTCGAAAATCTAAGAAGATTTATACAAACTTTCATACCCTATTTTATATCCCACATCATCAACATCATGATCATTAGCAATCCAACATTGGAGTTGCAAATTCGTTGCCACCCTTTTGGTTAGGGTATCCCCCCCCCCCCCCCAATCGTCAATCCCCAAATCCCCAAACGCAAATCCTTAAAAACACACGCACTGAGCAGCGCCAAGATCCATCAACTCGTGTTCCGACCTATCCCATAACAATGAGAAAAAATAAAAACAATATCAATTTTAGTTGTAAAATTTCGTTAACTTTTTTTTATGCAATAGGTCGGCAAACGAGCTGACGGATTAGCAACAAAGGAGTTACGAGTGCGTTGCCGACCTTTTAGGGATTAGGGTTTAGAAGATTTAGGGATTGAGGAGGGTAGGGGAGGGGAAGTATTGGGCCTCCGGTAACCTCACTCACACGGCAAAACACAACGCTGTGGTTGTTTCACGTCGGTATTGTGTGAGGCCGTGGTATCACTCCGGTCGAGCCGACCCATTCGTGCCGAAGCTTGGCTCTCCCACACTTGTAAACGACACCGCCATCCAACATACTCGTATCTGGTACAGTCACCGTACACTCTTTGGGGGGCAGCTTCGACAGTTCCAGGTAAACAGGTAACACAGGTTCTCGGTAAAAAAAAAAAATTTTTTTCAAGTAAATATTTTAGGTACACTTACCAATGACTTCGCCGCCCGTCTTCTCGATCTTCTTCCAGTCGGGAGTGCACAGTTCTATCAGCATATTGTTAACGTTGACTTTGGTATCGGCTCTGGTTAGAGTCGCCTGGCTACCGCTTGGCGCCGATTGCTTTCTGTCGCTGAGAGTCTGTGGGCGAAATCATAATAATCATTCATCATCATCATCAGCCTATAAGTGCCCACTGCTGAGGAAAGGCCTCTTCTCATACGGAGAAGGTTGGAGCATTATCACCAAGCTTGCTCAATGCGGGTTGGCGATTTCAATACTTATAATAAGAAATTACATGTCCAGGTTTCCTCACGATATTTACCTACCTTAAAATTTTTTGAATTATCAAATTTTAAATAAATTATAATATTAATAAACTCAAATTGTTTGCATATAATATACAGGTATAGCTTGACGGGTTTTTTCAGGCGTTTCAAATATGAGGGCTATCATCAACTTATACTAAATTAAGTAACACTTCCAAAACATCTATATTTTAACATATTTATTAATTTAGTTTGGTGTACATAAGGAAATTATATGTATAAATATAACTAGCTGACCCGGCGAATTTCGTACCGCCTTTTTGCAGGGTGGGGCGGGAGAAGTTATTTCGTCAGTAAGAGTCTGACCAGGGAGGGTCAGACTTTTACTGAATAAAAACTCCCCTGTTCCTTATCCTGGTCTAGCGGTACCTCATTGCGCTTAAACCGCAATCCCAGCTAAACCGAGAAGGTTGTGTCTTGTAAATAAATATGAAAGATTTTCGAAAAAACGCTCGGACATATATTATGAATAAGGGCTGATTTTTCAATAGACAGATAAATGCTATCTGAGGAATAAAATTGTTGCCGTCACTGTCTTATACAAACATTCTGACGCGACAGCATCATAATTATTCCCCAGGTAACTTTTATCTAACCATTGAAAAATCGGCCCTAAAAGTCTTATATCCCGCAGTACACTGTAAAAGAGAACTGGAGTACTTACCAAAATCAATTCCACATCATCCTTGAGCTGCTCAATAGCTTCGGTAGCGGCCGGCTGGAGGGCTTCAGTGGATATCTTGATCATGGATACAAGAGGCGGCGAGTTGTCCAAGTTGAGGTCATCGGGACACTCGAACAGAGTTTCCAATTTGTTGATCTCCACATTTCCTATTAGAAAAAGATTATATTAATTGCTGCAGTGAACGATTGACGCAGTGGTTGGGCAACTGGCTGCTGTGTAACAATGAAATATTGTAAATTCTTGGGGTGTTTTTTTTGTGAGGGGAAAATCATCAAATGACTTCTCCCGCCCAGGGCCGGGCGGGAGGAAGTGTCAGACTCTTACTGACTAAAAACCCCCCGTTCCTTCTCCTGCTCTGGGCTGAGGCCGCGGTGCCTCATTGCGCTTACCCCGCAACCCCGGCTGAACATCAGCCCTGTCTGTGATGGTCTATTGGCTCTATGAGGCGCGCGCGGAATGCTACGCGCCGTACAAATTCTTGGGGTGTAACTTTGATCCGAACCCTAATAAGTGTGGGAGAGCCATGCTTCGGCACGAATGGGTCGGCTCGACCGTAGTGATAGCACGGCCTCACAGAATACAGACGTGAAACAACCACAGCGTTGTATTTGTGTGAGTTAGGTTGCCGGATGTCCATTTCTTCCCCTCCCCCAATCCCAAAATCTCTAAATCCCATATCACTAAAAGGTCAGCAACGCACTCGAAACTTCTCCGTTGTTGTGGGTGTCCATGAGCAGCGCTGAATGCTTAGCATCAAGTAATGAGTTTACTCGTTTGTCAACTATCGCATAAATAAACTTCGAACCAAACATATATTCGTTTTTCATTGGTTAACGGGTTTTGATCAAAGTTAATCCCCCAGGGTTGGTTGTCCCGAGCGTACGGCGCGTAGCGTTCCGTGCGCCTCAAAGAACCAATAGACCACCACAGACGGGGCCCTATAGGGCTGATGTTCAGCAGGGGTGGAAGGGTAAGCGCAATGAGATGAGATCTCTATCGCGCCACCCTGGGCGGGAGAAGTCATTTGATGGTTTTCCCCTGACAAAATGCCGAAACAAACTTAGAGATCACTCCGTTAACGGCCGGTTCAAACGAACGTCAACGTATCGCGGTTTCGACTCTGCACGGAACAGCACTTTGTGTGATCCACAAATAGTTGTTTCGGGTCTGAGTGTACTCTTTGTAAAATATCGACATCGAAGAAATACCTATTTTGATGGCGATACGTTTTTTTAACGGAGATCGGAGATGTAAGGAAGTTGCGTATAAGGAATAGGACTCACACACACGGAAACAGTGATTGTTTCACACCGATGTACCTGTGAGCCCGTGGTATCACTGTGCCCCGAACAAATTGGCTGCACGGTTGGCGCGGTGGTTAGGCAACCGGCTGCCGTGCAACGTATCGCGGGTTCGATTCCCGCACGTAACAACTCTTTGTGTGATCCACAGATTGTTGTTCCGGGTCTGGGTGTGATGTGTATGTGAAATTGTATGTTTGTAAACGCACCCACGACACAATCCTAAACATTAGGATTTTCTCATGTGAACTCTCCAACGTTTAAAAAAAAAGAAGGGTAGGTAGAGTAGGGTAGGTAGAGTAGGGTAGGTAGAGTAGGCTGGGTAGAGTAGGGTGGGTAGAGTAGGGTAGGTAGAGTAGGTTAGGTAGAGTAGGGTAGGTAGAGTAGGGTATGTAAAGCAGGGTAGGTAGAGTAGGGTAGGTAGAGTAGGGTGGGTAGAGTAGGGTAGGTAGAGTAGGGTAGGTAGAGTAGGGTGGGTAGAGTAGGGTAGGTAGAGTAGGGTAGGTAGAGTAGGGTAGGTAGAGTAGGGTAGGTAGAGTAGGGTAGGTAGAGTAGGGTGGGTAGAGTAGGGTGGGTAGAGTAGGGTAGGTAGAGTAGGTTAGGTAGAGTAGGGTAGGTAGAGTAGGGTAGGTAGAGTAGGGTAGGTAGAGTAGGGTAGGTAGAGTAGGTTAGGTAGAGTAGGGTAGGTAGAGTAGGGTATGTAAAGCAGGGTAGGTAGAGTAGGGTAGGTAGAGTAGGGTAGGTAGAGCAGGGTAGGTAGAGTAGGGTAGGTAGAGTAGGGTATGTAAAGCAGGGTAGGTAGAGTAGGGTAGGTAGAGTAGGGTAGGTAGAGTAGGGTAGGTAGAGTAGGGTATGTAAAGCAGGGTAGGTAGAGTAGGGTAGGTAGAGTAGGGTAGGTAGAGTAGGGTAGGTAGTGTAGGGTACATAGAGTAGGGTAAGTAGTCAAACGGGAGCGACGCCGCGGATAAGAGCTAGTATAAAATATAACTTACCAAATTCAACATATTCGATCATGTATTTATTCTGTTTCGCGCTAGTACGCTGTACGAAGGCTCGGTAATAGTTGCCGTCGGTAAACTGGGCGATGACAACTTGTCCTCTTTGAGGCGGCTGCTTTAGCGGTTTGCCTGTGTAGGAGATGAAAAAGAACAATAATTATTAAAAGCTAAGCACGTTTATACAGGTTGTAAAAAGACACTTAACGAAGCCGTTAACTACGCATACTGCAGTTCTAACTAAGTAGCTTTACGCTAAAATTATCACTGGGAAACGACTTTTATTTTTAGGTATCAAAAATAATAATAATTTTATTCCACGCAATGTAAAGCAAACGGGCTTCGTGTCATTGTGTGCGTAGGTTCATAGCTTAGCATTAAAACGCTGTGATAAGTACGTAGGTCGACGTTTTACTTCGCAACAACAAAACAATTCTGTAAAATAAAAATCCTACTGAGATGCACGATGTTTTTTGTGCGGGTCTGCATTCATTTATTACGTACATTACTGTTCGTAACTTCAAATGAGTAATTTATTTAATGTTCGTTTGGAAAAAAGTTTTTTAAAAATAATTAGAATTCGACTGCACAAAAAAAAATTAAAAATGAATCTTTGACCTTTCAATATCTCGAGAACCCGTGGAGTCCCAGCAGTCTTAAAGAAAAAAAAAAACAAACAATGGGTACAATACGTGGCTTTCGGCTTGGTTAAGTGTCTTTTTACACCCTGTATAAGTTGTATCCAGGGATTTTCAAAACAGCATCGTTTAAAGCGATAACTGCATTTAAATACGCAAACCAAGTATAATAAATAGCAAATGAGAAACATTGTAGCTAACTCGGTCGGAAATACAAAATATTTCACTCGTGAAAGACTTGGAAATCCCACCATCATTTCCAAAGATTACCCCTTTGGTTGTAGCTTGCTGTTTTAGTCTATAGCACTCGGGAACAGGAAGGTTTATATGTACAATAACATCCATTAAATAGTGAAAAAAAATAGTATAGTCATTGCACCCGTGACCCGTGTCTATACTAATATTATAATAAAGAGGTAAAATTTGTGAGTTAGTATGTAGGGGGTAATCTTTGGAACCGGTGGTCCGATTGCCAAAATTCTTTCACTGATAGATAGCTACAATGTTCCTGAGTGCTATAGGCTATAAAACATCACGCTACGATCAAATGGAGCCGTGCAGCGGGTGAAACCGCGCAAGAGTAGCTAGTTAAACATAATTTTTTTTTCAAATCGAACCAGTAGTTCCTGTGATAAGCGCATTCAAGCAAACCAACTCTACAGCTTTATAACATTACTAGCCTTTGCCCGCGGCTTCGCTCGCTTTAAGAAATATTATTATTCATTAGGTATAGTTACTGCGGCTTTACTTTTGTTGAGCGTGTGTTAAAAATTAAGGCCTCATCTTCATCTTTAATTTCAGCTCAATGAGTCGAAAATCTAAGAAGATTTATACAAACTTTCATCCACTAATTTAACCCCTTAGAGGTGGAATTTACAAAAATCCTTTCTTAGCGGATGCCTACGTCATAACATCTACCTGCATGCCAAATTTCAGTCCGATCCGTCCAGTGGTTTGGGCTGCGCGTTGATAGATCACTATATCAGTCACCATTGAGTTTTATATATTTAGATAAAGACATGCATATATGTATGTAATAATACACTTACATCCATCCCCGCTGAGTAAGACGCGTTGAAGGATTTCGTTGTAAGCACGTTGCGATTCGATGTCCGCCGGTCTCACAAACACTTTCTCTAGATTCGTCACATGCACCAGGAAGACGTTCGTGTTGTTCGTGAGCTGAGGCCGTTGTACTGACGGTATCTCTACTGGAGTTGCGCCTTGGGAGAGGATAAAATATGTAATGTAAATATTTTTTTTTTAATGTAATAGCTCGGCAAACGAGCAGACGGATTACCTGATGGTAAGCAATGAGCGCCGCCCATGGACACCCGCAACGGAGGAATTACGAGTGCATTGCCGACCTTTTAGGGATTAGGGATTTTGAGATTTAGGGATTGGGGGCGGGGAAGGATTGGGCCTCCGGTAACCTCACTCACACGGCGAAACACAACGCTGTGGTTGTTTCTCGCCAGTTTTCTGTGAGGTCGTGGTATCACTCCGGTCGAGCCGACCCATTCGTGCCGAAGGATGGCTCTCCCACACTTAAAATGAAATCATTTTACGATTCATTATTAAAATGAATCGTAAAATGATTTGGTAAGAGCATAACTCAACAACGTCTGGACCAATTATGCCTATTATTTTTTGTCAGGAGGTCCTGTTCCTGACGTCAATTCGGGCTCACCATCATACGTCGTGGTACGCGACCGCTGCGATCGGCGGTCATTCATTCACTCGCTCGCCCGACACTACACCGTGCGCACATATCGGCTGACTACAATCATTACCTATAAAACGCAGTCTATTACGCATCTACCAAAGTCTTTTATTAGTCAAGACCACCAGCAACACAACTGGAGCTTGGCATTCAAACAGGTCCTATGAAAAAAGGTTCCTAGAAAATAGATTTTTCTATGTAAGTAATCGACTCCGCCCTTGGACATCCCCAATAAACCAGAGCGACGAATATATTGCCGGCCTTTTGATTTTCGGGTATTGGAGATTAAAAAATAGATCGAATTATTTAAGTCAAAGTCAAGTCAAAATCATTTATTTCAATTAGACCCATACAGACACTTTTGAACGTCAAACAAAATGTTGTTTTGTTTTATTTCATCCCCAATGAAATATGTACCTACATACGGTCTATCGGTTAAGGTTAATAAAAATAGAAGGTTTAGGTAATTGACTAAATGAAAACAATATTGGCATGCCTTTTTAAGTCAAAAGTCAAAGTCATTTATTTCAATTAGACCCATACAGGCACTTTTGAACGTCAACACAACTTTAAAGATATAAAGTGTCAGTCTGTCGGTCAGTCCTCTTAGTGAAGCTATTTGCTCGTTCTAAAGTGTACATTCCGATGGAGAAGAACGAGCAAGAAACTCCATGGTCACTATTTTTAAATCAGTTTCATATACAGATTCTTTGATACATTATTTAATTGGTTTGATTATGTGACAACAGTGCAGCGCGTGTATACAGAGAAACATAAAAAGAAAATAACCTTAAGGACAATAGACAGTCCGGAGCTGACCAGTCCCAATTGACGGCGCCCGTTCACGAGCATGACACGTACACCAGCATTAAGGTTATTTAAGGTTGTTTCACGCCGGTATTCTGTTAGACCGTGGTATCACTCCGATCGAGCCGACCCATTCGTGCCGAAGCATGGCTCACACTCTTAAATCTCCACAATCCTTAACCCCAAATGATCAGCAACATAACTCCTCTGTTCTTGCAGGTGTCAATAGGCAGCGCTGGCGGCTCTGATTGGTAACCATCAGATAATCCGTCTTTTTTTATGTGATAAGTCGGCAAACGACCAGGCGGATTACCATTACCGACCTTATATATTATATGGGTATTAGGGATTCGGAGAGGGGAAGGATTGCGCCTCCGATAACCTCATTCACGCGGTGAAATACAACGTAGGTTTTCTGTGAGGCCGTTGTATCATTCAGGTCGAGCGAGCCTACGCATTCGTGCCGGAGTATGGCTCTCCTACACTTTAAATCTTCTTATGTTCTTCCGTGAGGGTGATGTTAGCGGAAGCCCAATCCTTCCCCTCCCCCAATCCTTCCCCTCCCCCAATCCATCCTCAATCCCTAGATCTCCAAAGCCCCAACCCCCAAATGGTCGGCAACACACTCACAATTCCTCTATCGTTGCGAGTGTGAATGGGCGGCACTGATTGCTTACCATCAGGTAATCCGTTTGTTCAATTAATAATTAAGTTAGATTACTTACCAGCAACAGTTTCTACAGCCGGCAACCAACGGAACAACTCTCCCTCGCCGAGATCATCGTTGGATTCAGCGTCCATCATAGTCACTTTAAACCCATTCGGTGTTTGAGATGCGACCGTAGCCAGTACGCTCGCTCCGATCTGTTGTAACAATAAACGCAAATGTTATTTAGAATGATTGTGTAGTACGATTCAAACTTAATGGCGGCTCTGAACATCGTCGAGAGGTGATCCCCGGCCACCTATACTCGGAATTTTAATGCCATTCCAGATTTGACAATTTCAGTGTTGCAACGTTATGACACGTACTAAATAGTGATGTTGCGAAATTATTCGATATGGATATCGAATATTTCTGAATCGATTCCTCTCGTTTACTCTCGTAAACTAAGTTTATCAGGAAATAAAATATTTCTCAACCGATAATTTAGTTTTGACAATTAATTAACGATCTGAGACTTTCCTTTTGTAATTGTGTGTGAAATTAATAAAAAATGTGATCAAGAAGGAACATGACAAATAAAACAGACATTTTATAAATTGTCGCCGTCATCGCTATCGCTGTTACTTTCTGTAACATTTATAATGAATCACAGATAATGAATTGTGTCTGTGATACTTATTGTCAATTAACATATCTAGCTTTCTAATTTTTTCCTCTTTGACCACATGGTATACACATTTAGACCATTCGGTAGCCGTAATTTTTTGAATGCCTTCCTGAAACTAATTCACTGATTGCTTATCGATTTTTGTTCATCACTACACTGTTATATGTGGTATCATTATTCCACAAAATGACAGTAGGTCATGTCAAATCAGGAATCGAATTATAATTCTGACTATAGAGCGCGGTCGAGTAAGGGTAGCTCGCCGCCCGACCAGAACCAGACCCGAGCGTACGGCGCGTAGCTCGTCTAAGACCGGTTAACGCGGTGGAGAACTCAGGAATATCTTCGTAAGCGTTCGGCAGTTTCTGTAGCTTGTCGGCGGGAGTTATAAGGACGATTTTACCACTTTTTAGTAGAGCGATGACGGTTGGCAAGATATATGTAGTATACAAAGTGTGGGAGAGTCATGCTTCGGCACGAATGGGTCGGCTCGACTGACATGATACCACAGCCTCACAGAAAACCGGCGTGAAACAACCACAGCGTTGTGTTTCGCCGTGTCAGTGAGGTTACTAGAGGTCCAATCCTTCCCCACCCCCAATCCCTCCTCAATCCCTAAATCTCCAAATCCCTAATCCCGAATCCCTAAAAGGTCGGCAACGAACTCGTAACTCCTACGTTGCGGGTGTCCATAGGCGGCGCTGATTACTTACCATCAGGTAACCCGTACGCTCGTTTGCCGATCTATTACATAAAAAAAAATACATTCAAAAATGTAAGAGAGTATTACCTGAACTCCCTTAGCGGTCAACACGGCAGAGAACTCGGGAATATCTTCGTAAGCGTTCGGCAGTTTCCGTAACTTGTCGGCGGGTGTAATAGTGGTGAGTTTTCCACTATCAAGTAAAGCAAGGATGGTCGGAGTGAGGCACCGGCCGCGGTACCACGCGCCGTCTTCTGGATTGAAGTATGAAATCGTCTCGCCTGGAGTTGGTCTGTGATAAAAAATTACATGTTTATTATATATATTTATTAATTTAAAAAAAAATTGCGGCATAAACGGCTGTATCTTTTGATTGCGTTGGCTTAGAAGTTTGATTTTTTCACAGCTTCAAGGGACAGTAGACCTGAGTAATTGATATAAATTTCAGCTTCATACCTCCACGCGTTCTTGAGAAAAAGGGTCTTGACAGACGGACGGACGGACGGACAGACGGACAACAAAGTGATCCTATAAGGGTTCCGTTTTTTCCTTTTGAGGTACGGAACCCTTAAGATGGTAATTTATTTCCATCCATTCTAGTCCTTTAACACATTCAGTGCCCCCGACGCACCTGTGCGTTCAATACATTAATGTATAGAACGCACAGGTGCGTCGAGGGCACTGAATGTGTTAACACACACTTATCTCTATTTTTAAACGTCTACACTTATTTTAACTAGTCCTATTGTCCTCACACTATCGCATTGGAAAACTGTTAAGATAGTTCTCTGTAAGAAAATAAATAAATGAAAGCTACAATGTTTTGAGTGCTATAGGCTATAAAACAACACGCTACGCTCAATCTCGCACGGAATAACTCTTTGTGTGATCCACAAATTGTTGTTCCGGGTCTGGGTGTGATGTGTATGTGAAATTGTATGTTTGTAAAAACACCCACGACAGAAGAAAAAATTTTATTTATTTATTTACATCACTAACAACACTATCATTACAAATAAAATCCAACTCGATAGTCAATAGTCTGGCTAGAAAAAGAATTCGATAGTCTAGCCATCAATCTTACAAAATACAAAAGTAAAAACTTATAATCTAATTATTTAATGTATACTAATTTAAACAATCAAAAAGAATAAACAAGAACATAAAAAAATACTAAAAGGTAAGGTAATGAATAAATAAAGAAAAACTTAATTCTTAAAACATTCCTAAAATTATAAAGTGAATATTTACTATAATGATTCTAAACACTATCGAGCAGCGGGTGAAACCGCGCGAGAGTAGCTAGTCTATATATTTAGAAGAAAGTCGTGTTAGTTACTCCACTTATAACTCAAGAAAGGCTGAACCGATTTAGCTGAAAATTGGCAGGGACGTAGTTTAGAGCCAAGAGAAGGATATAGGATAGAGTAGGTCGTGAAGGATAGGTAGGGTAGGGTAGGTAGGGTAGGATAGGGTAGGGTAGGGTAGTGTAGGTAGGGTAGGGTAGGGTATGGTAGGTAGGGTAGGGTAGGGTAGGTAGGGTAGGGTAGGTAGGGTAAGGTAGGTAGGGTAGGGTAGGTAGGGTAGGTAGGGTAGGCAGGGTAGGTAGGGTAGGTAGGGTAGGGTAGGTAGGATAGGGTAGGTAGTCAAATGACGGAAGCGACGCCGCGGTTAAGAGCTAGTTTAATATATAAAAAAAGAACTTACGTAACTCCCTGACCATCCTTCTCGCAGTCCACGATGAAGTCTTCGCAGAGCTTCGTGTATTCAACTTGGAAAGTTTCAGAGATGAGAACGCATACGAAATCGCCGCGTGTGATACGAGAGTCGGCCGCTTTGGTTTCCACAGTCAGTAGAACACCGTCTCCCACTTTAAGGAAATCGAGGAGTGATCTGTAAAAGAAAATATCAATTTTTTTATTTTGTTTATTTATTAGATAACTTTGGGAACTCCATACATGTCTATCGGTTTAAATGGTCAAAAATCTTGGTATGTTGTTATTTTTATTATAACTTTAGACTGGCTTTAGACTTTATACTGGCACAGCAGCGCGACAGTCACCGAGTCGCGTGTCGCGGAATGCTGCTCATGAATATGGGCCTCTAGCATGGCTTGAAACTAGTCGAGTATCCCGTCAAATCATTACGTGAGTAAGCCGAAAACATAACAAATAATGTTGTTATTATGTCTCTTTATATCAAAGAGGTCGTTTATTAGCTAATATCGATTTAGGGCTGATTTTTTAATGGTTAGATAAAAGTTACCTAGGGAATAATTATGATGTTGTCGTGTTAGAATGTTTGTATAAGACAGTGACAGCAACAATTTTATTCCTCAGATAACATTTGTCTGACTATTGAAAAATCCTACTTAAATATCTGACTAGCTTTTGCCCGCGACTCCGTTCGCGTGGAATAGTGACTTCCTGAAGATTTTTGGTATAAAAACTATCCTAAGTCCTTTCTCGAGATACAAACTATGTCTGTACCAAATTTCACATAAATCGGTTCAGTAGTTTAGGCGTGAAGAAGAGACAGACCGAATTACTTTCGCATTTATAATATTAGTCTGGATTGTAAACATTTTTACATAAAATTTTTAGACAACTTTTGAAAATGATTCTTTAAATTCAGTTAAACACCCAAACCGATAGACCATAATAAAAGTTACTTCTCTGTGCAAATAACTTTAAACTTAAACGGCCTTATTACAAAACAAGGTTTTACTTTAGTCTAGGACTAAACCATTGAGCCAGTTTTCGTTTTTCGAATTGAAGGTAGATGACAAAAAGATTCAAAATTCAAAACCCGACTCAATGGTTTAAACCTGGACTAAAGATAAACCTGGTTTTGGAATAAGGGGGAAAGTATCAAATTCTGATATAATGTGGTTACATGTAATATAAGGAACAAGCAAATCATTTGTACAGCATGCATATGCAAAACGCATTAAAATAAAAACTAAAAGCTACTGGAAAAAATACAAAACTAGCATTTTTTCAGAGGGAGTGTCAGACTCTTACTGACTAAAAACCCCCTATTCCTTAGCCTGCTCTGGACCGAGGTCGCGGTGCTTCATTGCGCTTGCCCCGCAACCCCGGCTGAACATCAGCTCTGTATGACCCTGTCTGTGGTGGTCTATTGGCTCTTTGAGATGCGCGCGGAACGCTACGCGCCGTACGCTCGGGTCTGGTTCTGGTCGGGCGACGAGCTACCCTTACTCGCCGTCCGTAAAACGTAAGTGTTGCTTCACGCCGGTTTTCTGTGACGCCGTTGTATCACTTCGGTCGAGCCGGCCCATTCGTGCCGAGGCATGGCTGTCCCACACATAAAATTCTAGGGATACGGAAGTTTCTAACTAGTCAAATCCAATACTTTTATCCAAATGTCAAAAGCGATACTTTTCTATGAAATTTTTATGAAAAACTGAGTTATTACGTCATGGTATTTTTGCGCCAAATAGCTTACTTATTTCTTTATAATTAGCTACAAAATATCTAAAACTTAGCTAACTTATCAAACGATCGATGAATAAAAGTATGGTAATTTATCATTATTTGACTGTATTGAAAATTGTCTAATTAATTTATTTTTGACCTAGGAAACTATCCAAATCAAATCAAATCAAAATCATTTATTACTACTAAACGATAAATACCTAGGTACTTTTGAAACGTCAAAATAGAAAAGTAGTCTGTCAGTGAAGCTAGGTGCTCGTTCCAAATTGAAGTTTCGTTTAGTGAAACCGTATTGTTGGTGATGGAAGATGGCGTGTTTATCAAAGTGATGAATTCGAGACAACATTAACTATTCTAACACTTTGCTAAGAACCGGCAGAACAGACACAGGCTAATTCTTAGGATTAAGTATTTAAAAAAAACAATACCAAAACTTACTTCTTAGGCACAAGTTTCTTGGTTGGCGTGACGTCACTCACACTAGCAGGTTTTAACATTTGATTTGGTTTCTTTGTCGGTATTTGTTCGGCGGTCGCTACATCGGGCTTAACAGCGGAGGGTTCTGGCGTGCTAAGGTGCAAAATAAAAAGTGAAAACAACGCTTAGAAGGTTGATGTCTCAATGGTTAGATAAAAGTTACCTGGGGAATAATTATGATGCTGTCGCGTCAGAATGTTTGTGTAAGACAGTGACAGCAACAATTTTATTCCTCAGATAACATTTATCTGACTATTGAAAAATCAGCCCTAAATTCCCTGAATCGATAGACTTAGAACACCAAAGAGGCCAAAATTAATTTGTCTAATTAATAACCTTACTCGACCCGCTCCGGCTTCGCTTGGGTGTCATGCTGATACATTTCTCCACTATTTAATGGATGTGACTATTCATATCAACAGTTCTCTATATCTTTAGAAACAAAAACTTCAAAATGCGTTGCGCGAAAGATTTAAGCATACAGGAACAAACTGAAAACGACTTTATACTTTATGATGATTATAACTAGAAAATCTATTTAGTTTCAAATGTTTTTTAAAAGACAATCGACTAATAGTTATTTTCAAAATAGGACTTTTTCTTGCTCGTCTAACAACTATTTGTGGAGTTGTTCTGGGTGGGAATTAAAACTATATTTTTTTCACGGCAGCTTACCCACCGCATTATTAAAAGTAGCATAAATCGGAAGCCAGCGTAAGCAGACGCCGGCGTATGCCCTACTGTGTCCCTAATTACCACGATTTAAAGGTTAAATAATAAAAACAGTCAACATCTCGTCTATCGTGTCGGGGAAAAAAGGCATCATGTTATACATAAAGCAAATAATAAAAAAACATTATGTACAAGTTCAAATGAGGAATCAGAGAAAAACAAACATCTAAATAAAAAAAGCTCTTAAGATCTGGCTTGTCAGGTATACTTGAAGCATATTTAGTGCGGGGGAAGCTGGTATATACAGGGTGTCCGGTAAAGAATGGATAACCTTGCAATACCTTTGAGTATATCTTATGGCCATTCAGAAAATATACAAAAAAAATATTTTATAATAAACTTGCAAATTAATTTATTATAGACAAATCGTGCAAAATTTATTTTTAAAGCAATGTTTAATCATCGTAGTTTTGCAGTAATGTAATGAACGTAAATGTTAAAGGATCATTTTGTATCACCTCTAGCCCCAGTTCTTTTACTTCAAGACATAATAATTTAGGTAATTCCTATCATACTCTCCTTTTCGTTGTTTTTTCTGAATGACAAAAGGATATACTAAAAGGCATTTGAAGGTTATCCATTCTTTACCGGACACCCTCTATAAAAAAGGATTTATAATTTTACACCTACGGGCGTTCATAAAATACGTGAAATGTTTTAGGGGGGAGAGTCGAGTCAAATTAGATTTAATCTTACGTTGGAGGGAGAGGGGGTCTCAGCAAACATCAAGTTATATTTTTTGTGAATGTAGCATTTAATCCAGATTTTACATGCTTTTTTGTGAGGGGAAAATCATCAAATGACTTCTCCCGCCCGGGGCCGGCCGGGAGTGTCAGACTCTTACTGACTAAAAACCCCCCTGTTCCTTCTCCTGCTCTAGGCCGAGGTCGCGGTGCCTCATTGCGTTTACCCCGCAACCCCGGCTGACCATGAGCCCTATAGGGCCCCGTCTATTGGCTCTTAGAGGCGCGCACGGAACGCTACGCGCCGTACGCTCGGGCCTGGTTCTTGTCGGGCGGCGAGCTGCCCGTACTCGCCGACCGCAGACCCGCGCCTACGGTGGCCGGAGATCGTCCCTTGATCCCCGACGCCCTTAAGATTGGACATGCTTCAGATTTAATTTGAAGCTTTCTCTCAATACGATTAAGATCATCCCCTAATTCGTTCTAACGCGTTTAGTAAGAAAGCCACATTTTGAAAAATCTGACGTGAGTTTAGGGGATGGGGGAGGGTATTGAATAAAATCTCACGACATGACACAAATGGGGGGGGGGGGAGTCTGAAAAATTTAAAAAAAAACCACCACGTAGTTTATGAGCGCCACCCAAGCGATAAACCATCGTTCGAGCTAAACATCAAAAATCATGCAAATAACTGTACAATACAAATTAGAACATTTTTATCTAGTAAGGATGCACACAATTGAACCAATTTTAACAACTACAACTTTTCATTCAGTAACATTATAAAGAATGACTTTTGAGAGCGCTTTCACATTACACACGATCCGAATCCTTGAAAACATTTCCCATTATACTTACTCGTTACATTTATAGGGGAGAATATTATCAAATTACTTCTCCCGCTGCGCTTGAAGCGAGAGTTAAGTCTCTTACTGAGTCTCTTTTTTTTATGTAATTGGTCGGCAAACGAGCAGACGGATTACCTGATGGTAAGCAATCAGCGCCGCCCATGGACACCCGCAACGGAGGATTTACGAGTGCGTTGCCGACTTTTTAGGGATTAGGGATTTGGAGATTTAGGGATTGAGGAGGGATTGGCGGCGGGAAAGGATTGGGATTCCGGTAACCTCACTCACACGGCGAAACACAACGCTGTGGGTTGTTTTACGCATTGGGTTGTATTCTGTGAGGCCATGGTATCACTCCGGTCGAGCCGACCCATTCGTGCCGAAGCTTGGCTCTCCCACAGTTCAAGGAATATCCGAATTCTGACAGAGTTTTCTACAACAGTATTCTTCCATAATCAGATCGGACGTAGTGAAAAAGCGCTCTAACTGTCTAGCCAAGCGATTTTGACCTTAATTTTTTAGGTAAAATGACAAATAACTGGCTGCAGCGATTGTTTTGCGTATAATACAATCCTTATGCGTACGGAATAGAAGTTAAAATCGGTTGAAGAAACAGCAAAAAGGTTTATTTAAATGTGCAAACTTACAGCGCGGCCGACGTATCTTGGCGAGTCTGAAGTTAGCCGATTAGCTGCGCAGTACACAATTTTGTTCCTAAAAGATCCATTGCGCAGACAAACGGCTAACTTCAGATCTAACTTCTTCTAACCCAATCCCTTCCCAGTCCCAAAATCCCAATCCTTAAAATGTCGGCAACGCACTCGTAACTCCTTCTTTGTTGCGGGTGTCCATGGGCGACGCCGATTGCTTACCATCAGGTAATCCGTCTGCTTTTTTGCCGTCCTATCACATAAAAAAAAAATTTATACATACGTTTTCGGTCCAGTCGTCTTCCTCACAGGAGTTAAAGGGGAAGTAGCTTGTTGCTGATCGGATTCTCTGACGACAGGGGCTGGTCTTTCCGCTTGAGGAGCAGGTTTCTCCGGTTCATCGACGGCTGGCTGTGATCTGGCATTAGGGAAACGAGTATTGGGAGTTCTGGACGTACCTGTAAAAAAATTAGAAGTGTTATTTTCTTTCAAGTGTGAAGTCAAGAGAGAGCTATGTTTCGGCAGAACGGGTCGGCTCGAGCGTAAAACTAATACAACGTTGTGAAATAGGCCTCCAGTAAGGCCCAATCCCTAAATCTACGAAATTTTAAAGATATGAGAGGCCCATTCCTTCCCCTTCCCCAATCCCTCCTCAATCCCTAAATCTCCAAATCCCTAATCACTAAAAGGTCGGCAACGCACTCGTAACTCTTCCGTTGCGAGTGTCCATGGGCGGCGCTGATTGCTTACCATCAGGTAATCCGTCTGCTCGTTTGCCGACCTAATTACATAAAAAAATAAAAAAAATATTATTAAAAAAACAAAATACCCGACTGCACACTAAAAAAAGAGTAAAACAAGCCCCACAATACAAATTTACTGAATATAATTTATAAATGTTGATGGAAAGCATCGCAGGCGGGGACCAACAGAGGCTTATTTATAGTCATTTCTGTTGTGCACCATTTAGCAGAATTTTCGTTGGTGGCGGTCAAGGTGGTCCCCGCCTGCGATGCTTTCCATCAACATTTATAAATTATATTCAGTAAATTTGTATTGTGGGGCTTGTTTTACTCTTTTTTTAGTGTGCAGTCGGGTATTTTGTTTTTTTAATAATATTTTTTTTATTTATAACTTTTTAGCTGTTTTTTTAAAGGGAAATTTAGAAAAAATATTATTATGTCTTTATCCCGTGGGACTTTTAGGATAAAATGTATCCTATGACACTCCCGTAATCAAGACAAATCTAACGATACCTCATACATCAAAATCCATCAAGCCGTTTAGGCTACAGGAGGTCACAAAGGAAAAGACATACATACATACTTACATACACTCGAAAAACATTACCCTCCTTCTTTGGCAGTCGGGTAAAAAATATTATTGTTTTAAGTTTGTGTTTGGTTTCCGAAAGGCCGATCAATGTTAAAATCAATTTAATCTCTTGTCAAGTGATCTGATTGATTGACTGAATTATCAACAACCAATCAGATGACTTGACAAGAGATTTAACAGGAGATTAGTTAATTTTAGCGTTGACAAGCCTTTTAGAAACCGGGTGTTAATCTCTTAAATATGTATGAAAAATTTGTTTTGAACGACTTTCAAATGAGTTTAGCAATAAGTCATTCTTAATCTTTTGTAATTTTATTACATTAATACTAATCTTACACATAAGATCTTAATTCTCGTGTAAACAATTGTTGGTGACCCTAGTAAAAAAAATACCCTTATCTCTAAAAGACCGGCCAATCACTCATTATGTAGATGGTCTCACATAATCAAACCAACTTAATAATGAAGCAAAGAATCTTAATGTGAACTGATTTAAAAAGAGTAACCATGGAGTTTCTTGCTCGTTCTTCTCCATCGGAATCTACACTTTGGAACGAGCAAATAGCTTCACTAAGAGGACTGACCGACAGACTGACACTTTATATCTTTAAAATTTTGTTTGACGTTCAAAAGTGCCTGTATGGGTCTAATTGAAATAAATGATTTTGACTTTTTGACCTATAAGCGACTTTAATAGCTTAACATCAGACAAAATTTTTGCTTGTTAAGCTTCCTATCACAAAAATATCCACAGATTTTTAATGATAATTGCAATCTATACTTAAAATAAATCTGTAGAGAGGTCAATTCTGTACATTAAATATATTTTTCAAAATAACTACCATGGTGATAAGTCGATACTGATGCCAAAAATGGAATCAGTAAAATTTTTGGCTGTCTCTCTGTGTGTCTGTATATTCCTTTTAGAAACAAAAAACTACTCGACGGATTTACCCATTGGAGATGTACTTAAAATAATTAGACGGTTAATAACAAATTTTATGTGTACTTCGATTTTGATCTATTGCTATAGGCTGCTTTTTATTAACACAGCGGGCGCGGGCGAGGCCGCTGGCGAAAGCTAGTATGCCATAAAGTAGACTTATTTTTAAACAATTAAGAAATAATTTGCGTAAGTTGTAATAATATTGGTGTTATTTGTTAGCTACTTTATGTTACTTCATGTTTATTGTCAGGTCACTTATTGAAGCATGTTAGACATTGAATGCTGTTTACAGTCATAATTGGACTTCAGATTAATGTATTGTATGTTGTGTTTACTATGCTGATTGCCTTATGCCCGGTTTCCGAAAGACCGATCAATGTTAAAATCAACTAACTAGGTGTCAAATCTCTTGTCAAGTCATCTGATTGGTTGTTGATAATTCAGTCAACCAATCAGATGACTTGACAAGAGATTAAATTGATTTTAACCTTGATCGGCCTTTCGGAAACCGGGGGTAAGTCTTTAGTCTGTCGCTGTACCTATTGAAATAAAAATAAATATTCTTTAACTTTCTCACACCAGTCGTAGCGTAAAAAGAAAGTCGTGTTTACCAGCATTGCCATCTCGTGCCTGATTGAATTTCTGTGCCGGTTTTCTTTCACCGTTCCTTTTGCCGAAATCATTGTTACTGGTACCAGCAGAAAGCTTGGGCTGCGCCTGTATGAAAAACAGATAATGGTTGAAATGCAAATAATCCATATACCTGTATAAAAAAAGTCAATAAGTACCAGGTTTTCGTTGTAACGTTATTATAACTCAACAATGCCTTTACAGATTTGGCTGATTTTGGTCTTGAATTATTCGTGGAATTCCAGAAAAGGTTTGTATCTGGAGAAAATATATAAAAAAAAATCTTGAAAAAGGAATTTGTCATTGGAACCACTGGTCGGATTTCCATTTTTTTATCAGTTATTGATTAGCTACAATGTTTTGAGTGCTATAGGCTATAAAACAACACGCTACGCTCAATCTCGCACGGAACAACTGTTTGTGTGATCCACAAATTGTTGTTCAGTCTTTTTTTTTTTTGTTTTTTTTTGTGAGGCGAAAATTATCAAATGACTTCTCCCGCCCAGGGCCGGGCGGGAGGGAGTGACATCGACTCTTATTGACTGAAAACCCCTCTGTTCCTTCTCCTGCTCTACGCCGAGGCTGCGGTGACCCATTGCGCTTATCCCGCAACCCCGGATTATAGATTGTATGAAGAGGGAATTCATTAGAACCGCTGGTCAGCTACAATGTTTTGAGTGCTATAGGCTATAAAACAACACGCTACGCTCAATCTCGCACGGAACAACTCTTTGTGTGATCCACAAATTGTTGTTCCGAGTCTTGGTGTGATGTTTATGTGAAATTGTTTGTTTTTTAAACACACTTACGACACAGAAGAAAATCTTAGTTTAAAATTTTACACAGCATACATTATTAAGATAATATATGCACGTTTTCAAAACATATATTAAGACTGGCTACTATCACGCGGTTTCACTCGCTGCTAGGCTCCTACAAGTCATAGGGTGATGGTTTATAGCCTATAGCCTTCCTCAATAAACGGACTAACATACACAAAAAGTAATGTTCAATTCGGACCAGTAGTTTCGGAGTTTAGCGCGTTCAAACAAACAGTCTCTGCAGCTTGATAATATTAGTATATGACGGAGCGTCGATTATTTAAATTGAATTTTGAAGGAGGTTTTATCACAATTCATCGGACGAGGGTACAATGAATCGTACTCTGGCGGAACGTCATACAGATTGCAGACAGTTCTGCGTGCGCATTATTGTGGAGAGCGAACGCTGTGACTGTCATAGGAGACGGATCGCCGACATCCGTTATTTTTGTAAATTATTCGGTCTGATTATAAAATCTTACGCCCTGAAATGGACTGTGAAGACGATGATCGGGATGTTGATGTTTGTAGCAACCCCCGGTGCCTTCTTAAATATAACTTTACATGTTTCATAACATAAACTGAATTTCTCTTACCTTAGGAGTATACCCAGAAGCGCTGTCACTATCCAGATCTCGTCTGACATTGGAATTGTTCAAGTGTGGACGGCGCAACGGTTGAGCAGGTTGTACGCTGTTAACAAAATCATCATAATCTTAATCATCATCATCAGCCTATAAGTGCCCAGTGCTGAGCAAGACCTCTTCTAATACGAAGAAAGTAGGTATGATCACCACGCTAATATAACTATGAGATGGATTGGCAATTTCAAAATTTGGATTAGAAACTATAATCCCCGGTTTCCGAGAGGCCGATCAATGTTAAAATCAATTTAATCTCTTGTCAAGTCATCTGATTGGTTGACTGAATTATCAACAACGAATCAGATGACTTGACAAGAGATTTAACAGGAGATTCGTTAATTTTAGCGTCGACAAGTCTTTCAGAAATCGGGTGTATGTCTTTTGAATAGTATAACTATAGTGGCACATGTTAAATTAATTTAAACTCACGAATTAGAGCTGATTTTTCAATAGTCAATCTAAATTTTATCTGAGGAATAAAATTGTTGCTGTCACTGTCTTATACAAACATTCTGACGCGACAGCATTATAATTATTCCCCAGGTAACTTTTACATAACTATTGTAAAGTCAGCCCTTACTTATGCGAATAAACTGAAAAGGCAACGTCGCGTCGTCATTACACGCACACTTTGTCAGGTAATTCGCGGTAGTAAGTAGTTATTTTTAATAAAATGTTAAAAATAAACTACAAGTCCATATTTCTACACCGATTGTTAGTGGTATTATATCATTCAAATTTAAAGTTCACAATTATTTGCCTAGAGAAACTGACGGATTGAACTCATTAAAGTATGTTGTTTTTGTTTCTTTTATATATTAGTAATCCATTCTTCCCATATTTAACAGTATTACTAATGTATTATTTATATTTATTATGTATGTATATGTGTATTTGTGGGTTTTTTTTATGAGGGGAAAATCATCAAATGACTTCTCCGCCCAGGGCCGGGCGGGAGGGAGTGTCAGACTCTTACTGACTAAAAAACCTCCTGTTCCTTCTCCTGCTCTGGGCCGAGGTCGCGGTACCTTATTGTGCTTACCCCGCAACCCCGGCTATGTGTATTTGTATGTTACATTTAGTGTATTCTTAAATGTTTTTGTATTATGTGTATGTTGCCTTATGTACCTATGCTTTTTAATCATTTGGGTGCTTGTTTAGAACCTATTGTTAACACTTCTCTGCATCACCCTTGAGGTAGACTGGTAGAGAATGCCATCGGGCATTAAGTCCTCCTTTGTATTTTTATTATGTAGGTACATAAAGTGTTAAAAATATAAATAAATCTTAGACGGTAAATTAATGTAAGTACTATATTGTTGTAATTGTTGAGTTTTAATCAGTAGGTAATATAATTTTGTTGTAATTTTAACTTTATGTGTGTCCTGCGCAGAAATAAATGGTTTTTCTTTCTATCGAAATTGAGGTATTCCACTTAGCGCACCCATAGGTGGGCTTCAAATAAAAATTTAAAATAATTAATTTTCTATTCCACGAAGCACACCTACGAATATCACTCGCATAGTGCAGGGACTAATTATTTTAAATTTTTATTTGAAGCTCACCTAGGGGTTTGCTAAGTGGAATACTTTAGGTGGGCTTCGTCTGGGTGTGCTTCGATTGGGTGTGCTTCGTGGAATACCTCTCGAAATTTAAGTCTGAATAAGTCACATTGATATTTACCTACACCCTCATGCACGAATAAAAAAAACAAAGAAATAACCAATTGTTTGTTAGTTTCTTCCTCGCCCTTATTGTTATTACAGCTTCAGTAGAAGACTGACCGGTCAATAACTTCACTAAGGAATTGACCATCTACTTCTGTAAGTATTGGAATATTTTATTTTTGACATTCACAAGTTGGGGTGAGTTAATTCACAAAAGAGGGGCTTTTGTGTTATTTGAAATAAATATTAGTATGAATAATGTAACTGAAAAAATAAAAAATAAACTAACTTCAACTCGTCTCCGTTAGAAATATCGTGGGTACCAGTTCTAGAAGGAAGAAAAGAAAATTATTGGAATACATCAATCGACTATTGTTAACAGGAGCCAGTAAAATTGCCTTTTTGAAAGACTGAAATTGCCTTTTTTGAAAGGAGTAAAATTGCCTTTTTGTAGGAGTAAAATTGCTTTTTTGATTTTGAAGGAGTAAATTGCCTTGTTATGGTAGTAAAATTGCCTTTTTGGATGAGCTGAATTGCCTTCTTTAATAAGTAAATTGCCTTTTTGGTTGAGCTAAATTGCCTTCTTAAATAAGTAAATTGCCTTTTTGGATGAGCTAAATTGCCTTTTTGAATAAGTAAATTGCCTTTTTGGAGGAGCTAAATTGCCTTTTTGAAGTAGCGTAATTGCATTTAATGGAGTAGTAAAATTGCCTTTTTGGAGGAGTAAAATTGACTTTTTTGAAGGTGTAATATAGCCTTTTTTGAAGGAGCAAAATTGCCTTTTTGTAGTAGAGTAAAATCAATAAATACTCCTCCGGCCCTGAGTGAAACGAAACCTTTTGAGGGAGGGAAATAGTCCAAAGATTTCGATCGTCCTAGGTAGCCCCGCCTCAAAAAACGATACCCTTTATAAATATATGAAAACAAAGTATAATCAGGCTCCTAGCTAGAGTCGCTACTCAATTGACACTTGTCCAAATTCAGACACTAAGAATTATTTTTCTGAAATCCTTTTTTAACTCTTACAATATAAACCCAATTAGTAAAAACAATGCTTACATAGGGTCCTCGCTCTCAGCTACGTTGCGCATGGCTCGTTCGTTCTTCATTCTGAGAGTAAAAGGAGAAAATAAATTACTTGTGGAATTGACTTATGTGAGTGCCGATTTCGGGACGATAAACGATTTATAATGGTAAAGAATTGATCAAATCGTTTGTTTTTTTTTTTCATTATCAATACTACGTTTTCTTTTCCCAAATAGGTCTCTCATATTACCTATAACTTTTTCACATTGTCTGGACTTGTTTCGGCATTTCTTCAGCAGTCAGATACGAAATGCCAGCTTCATCTAGTTTTTTACATATAATTAGACGTGTAAAAGTGCCGTTTTATGGTCTATTTGCAACAAATGCATTGTTTCATTGTATGAATATGTGCAAAAATGTATTGGTGAGCTTTTTGTCAAATCATTTAATCCAACTTTTGAAACTTCAAAATAAAATAGTAGTCTGTCAGTGCGTTCGTGTCGTCGTCAGTGAAGCTAGGTGCTCGTTCCAAATTGTAGTATTCGATATTATGTTTTTGATGTAAAATATATCATCAAAAACATAATACCGAGAAAAACTTGCACGTTCTCTTCCATTTGAATCTAAACTTTGGAACGAACAGCTGTTTTTAATAAGAAACTATTTTTTTATAAAAACCTTGCCCCACACTAGGATTTCTCCTGTGTCGTGGGTCGCGTTTACAAACATCAATTCCACATACACAAGCCACCTAGTACCGAAACAACAATTCGTGTATCAAATAGTGTTGTCCCGTGCGGGAATCAAGCCCGCAAAACGTTGTACAGCAGCCAGTTGCCCAGCCACTGCATCAACCGTATAGTCATTTAAGTGTGAAAGAGCCATGCTTCGGCACGAATGGGTCGGCTCGACCGGAGTAATACCACGGCCTCACAGAATACCGGCGTGAAACAACCCACAGCGTTGTGTTTCGCCGTGTGCCTATCCCTTCCCGATCCTTATATCCGCAACCCCTATCCCCAAAAGGCCGGCAACGCACTCGTAACTCCTTTGGTGTTGCGGGTGTCCCTGGGCGGCGCCGATTGCTTACCATCAGGTAATCCATCTGCTCGTTTGCCGACTTATACCATAAAAAAATCTTTCAGAACTGAGACTTACCTGGCAAGATTATGGCAGACAGAATTATGGCGATCGGACCAATCGCGTCGCTGGCATCTCTCCGAGCAGTACGGGGTGATGCCGCAGCCGGAACAATAGGAGTCAGCGCCGGCCCCGCAAACGACGCACTGCCGCAATCCGATGCGTTGTAGTGCGGGCATTTTGAACTGTGTCCAATCAGCAGGTTGGGTGTGTTATTTGTGTGCATACCATGAGTCTTACATGTTTAGTTACATAGTGCCATGTACTATCAGTGTCATAAGTGCATGGAGGATTCCAAATCAAAATCGTTTGTACGGCGTTTCATCGCCTTAATAATATACCATTGATGATATAGATGGCGCTAGTATACTAGTGGTATTGAAAAATATACATTTATAGTTTTTATCAGATACAAAGTTATTAACTTAATAATTTTTTACACAAATTAATACTACGATATTCCAAACCTTTTTAAAGCAAAGCACGCAATAACCAGGATTCGAACTCGGTAGCATAAAATTTACCGATGCTACTAGCCATTAGGCCATTGCGTAACCTTGAAATGTATTGAAATTATCCTACTCTTTATTATATTGGACTTGTTGAGCAACTATAACCCGATCATAAATCTCAAAACAGTTGAGGGTAATTAAATATTAAGTGTATAAAAATTAAACCATTTTGTTCAATCATAACATTCTTTACTATCTTTGAGTGAGTTCAGTTACGATTTGTTTAACAAGTTTTTAATATTAATTTTTATCATGAGTTTGCGTTCAAATATTGATATGGCTACGAGGGCCCAAATAATAGCATTGCATAATCAAAGCTTAAATTATACTGAAATTTCGAGAGAAACTGGCTTAAACGTAAGTATTCTTTTAAAATGACCGTTCGTTATTTATTTTATTATCTATGGTTATCGATACATGAAAATAATAAATAATACACGTCTCTTACAGGTAAAGACTGCCACTTTATGGATATCTAAAGCTGTTTCAAGAAGAGGGTTCATTGGAGCACCGTAGTGGATCTGGCAGAAGACGTGATATTGACTCAGACCAGCTTCAACTTATGGGGCAAGGTTATGAGGAAATATACTGGAGCATTGTCATCTTCAGTGATGCAAACAGTGAAAACTACATAGATGTGCTGAAGACGTCATGAAGATGTGCGAGTGATAACGTTCGTGCAGGACAATTGTCCTATGTGTAATGTTCCGTAATTGTGCAAGTGTTTATTCAGCAATCAGACATACGGATTATTCCTTGGCCAGCGAGATAGGAGAAATAGGATCGATAAAATGGCGGCTACACTAGTTCTTAGAAGAAAAGATATTGTTGACTATAGGATTAAGCAATTACAAGACCGGGGTAGCTATATTTTTTTTTAATGGATAAATGTTCAAACTTAGTGTTAGTAGGATAAATTATTTATTTAATATTACTATAAACAATTCATATATACCTAGTCTAGCCATAAATACTGTAACAAATAAAAAAAAAAAATTTTCTATTGCAAATAACATTTATTACTTTTACAGTATGTAAGGTTAATACATAAATATAAAACAATTTAAAACATAAAAAGCTTATTCGAAGTGGTCTCCATTGGCTGCAATACAGTCCTTTAAACGTTGAGGCCAGTTATCAATGGAAGCACGCACTCTTTCCATGGGAAAATTCTTCACTGCCAATCGTATGGATTGTTTTAGGGAGTCCACATTATCATGACGTTTAGAGCAAGCCCTACTCTCTTAAACTGACCATAAATCATAATCCAGCGGATTAAGATCGGGACTAGACGACAGCCAGTCTTCAGCTCTGATGAAGTCGGAAACGTTCGTTTCCAACCAAGACTGCGTGGACCGAGCTTTATGACCCGGAGTCTTGCTGGAAGGACCATTGTTGGTTATTGAACATGGTGTTTTTAAGGGGCTTAACTACCTTCTCAAGAATGGTATTTTGATACACTTGTGCCGATGTTTTGATACCTTTTTCGCAAAAGTATGGCTCAGTCACTCCTTCATAGCTAACACCCCACCAAACCATCACTGAAGTCGGATAATGCCCACGTTGCACTCTGTCGACTAATTGAGAAGCTTCCTTAGAGCTTTGAGCATAAATACGGTCATTTTGTTTGTTAAAATGTTGCTCAATTGTAAAAAAATTCTCATCCGTAAACGTAATTTTTCTGTGATCTCCCTTTGCGTACCGCTTCAGTAGTTGTTTAGATTTTATCACCCTATTCTTTTTTAAATTATCATTTAAAAAATGTCCAATGCGTCTCTTATAGGCTGCACGCTCTAAGTCGTCCTTTAAAATACGCGACATGGTTCTTTCTAGGTGCTATCTTCATCTCCCGAGATAAAATCTTTTGCTTTCGGACAGGATTTCTTCGAATTCTTTCCCTTACTGCTTTGACCAACTTTTTCGTACGAACACTGCGTGGACGGCCAGATCTTTTTCAGTCACAAACAGAGGAGGTCTCATTGTACCTATTAACAGCCCGGTACACAAACATTTGACTAATGCCAAGCGTGTGAAGAGTTTTAAAAATTGCATTTGGCTCCATACCCACTTTGTGTAATGCAATCACAGCGATTCGGTTCTCTTTATCACCCCACTCCATTTTAATATCGCAAAATATTGAACAATTTATTGGCGCCAAAATTAGAAAACACAATGAAAAATTATATAAAAATGATAGATTCCAAATTCAAGTGTAATTTTGTTTATTTTTAATTGTAACAGTATTTATGGCCAGACTATGTACATAGATTTGAGGTAAATTGGATAGAAGGCATGGAATATTTCTTGTATGTTAATATGTTCATGTTCAATAAGTATTATATATTTTATACTTCTCCATCAAAAAGATCAATCAGCAGTTGCGATTTGTATGGGGAAATAAATTTATTTACTGTTTTAATTGAGCTCCTTGACTTTGTCCCCTGATCAAAATAACATCCTGTACCAATACTTCATCATATGATTATGAATATTAATGTATTTTTGGGTACATATTGATCATAAACTCTTGTTCTTTTAGCTGTTCCACCTACCATGAGCTGTATTTGTGATAAAGACTAGAGTAGCACAGTTCCTAATAAAAGTTTCTACTAAACAAAAAAAACTTCTAAGAAAAGTTTAAAACTTGCCCCATATATAACCTCTCCCACCCACGAGCACCTATAAAAAATACCAACTAATTACTACATTTTAATGAATCCCACTTCATTTAGACTACCCTACATAACATGTCATCATCATCATCATCATCAGGCTATAAGTGCCCACTGCCGAGCAAAGGCCTCTTCTCACACGGAGAAGGATTAGAGCATTGATCACCACGCTTGCTCAATGCAGGTTGACGATTTCAAACTTATAATTAGAAATTATAAGTCCAGGTTTCCTCACGATGTTTTCCTTCACCGTATGTCAGTGGTGTCTAAATAATCAAAGAAAGTACATATAACTCGGAAAAAGTCACATTGGTACTTGAAAGAAAAGTTGAAAAGTTAGTAAATAAATACAGGGTGTAAAAAGACACTTAACGAAGCCGTTAACTACACATACTGAGTAGCTTTACGCTAAAATTATCACTGGGAAACGACTTTTATTTTTAGGTATCAAAAAAATAATAATTTTATTGCGCGCAATGTAAAGCAAGCGGGCTTCGTGTCATTGTGTGCGTATGTTCACAGCTTAGTAAGTACGTAGCTCGACGTTTTACTTCGCAACAACAAAACAATTCTGTAAAATAAAAATCCTACTGAGATGCACGATGTTTTTTGTGCGGGTCTGCATTTATTTATTACGTACATTACTGTTCGTAACTTCAAATGCGTAATTTATTTAGAAAAATCGAAAATTCAGGTAATGTTTGTTTGGAAAAAAGTTTTGTAATAATACTAAGAATTCGATTGCGCAAAAAAAAATTAAAAATGCATCTTTGACCTTCAATATCTCGAGAACCCGTGGAGTCCCAGCTTAAAGAAAAAAATGATCCAAATAATGGGTAGAATACGTGGCTTTCGGCTTCGTTAAGTGTCTTTTTACACCCGGTATAAAAAAGCTAATAAAATGAAAAGAGGAAACGTAATATCAACACTTTAATATTATAAACAGAAACAAGCAACGCATAAGATAATAAATAGGACAGAAATTAAAAACAAATTATAATTAATAAGTTTATCAACATATACGGCCTTATTACAAAACAGTTTTACTTTAGTCTAGGACTTAACCATTGAGCCAGTTTTTGTATTTCGAATCGAAGGTAGATGACAATAAGATTCAAAATTCAAAACCCGACACAATGGTTTAAACCTGGACTAAAGATAAATCTTGTTTTGTAATAAGGGGATTAAGGTTAAAAGTACCTAACAAGAGGAGTAAACGCGATGCATGAAACTAACCGTTGTTGATTAGGACGGAGTGAAGAAAAGTTGTAAAAAAGTTCCATTTTAGTTCACATGTGATAAGGTATGCAAATGCTGATACTAAATGTCTCCACTATTTCATGGATGTTACATATATTTCCTCTTCAATACGGTAGTTTCCAACTAGTCAAATTCAATACTTTTATCCAAATGTCAAAAACGATACGTTTCTAGTATGAAAAATTGAGTTATGACGTCATAATATTTTTGCGTCAAACAGCGTACGTATTTCTTAAAAATAAGCTAAAAAAATCTAAAATTTTGTGTATCGATCGATGGATATATCGATATATCGATGAATAAAAGTATAGTTATACTTTTATATCGATATTATATCGATATTTCGAAACTACCCAATTACTCTATCCATTGACAAAAATAAACACCAATTTTACACTATATCTCGCACATCAATAGGGTTGATAGTACAAAAAAGCACTCCGTCAAAACCAACAACGTTAAAATTATTAAAACAATAAAAATACTTACCATATAAAACTTATGTAAACTAATACAAACTAAAATTGTTACTAAAAACTTAGTTGTTCCCGTTCGTTTGTTTTAAAGTCCATTAGCTAAGGCATGCCAGAATTGTTTACTGATTATTAACAGATTTCAATACAAAATTATTGTATTAAGGTCGACTTTTCATTGGCTAGTCACCGCTACTATCAATAGGTTGGACTATCCCAAACTGCATCGGCTCGTAGCAAAAACATCTAGTATCAAGCTACATTTTTG